TGTTTTTTTCTGACAAGAAAAAGAGAAGCACGAAACACCGTTCTAGCGAACACTTTTGACCGCTACCGTATGTAATTCCTTAAACCCGAAACGCTGCAAATTAGAGACAAAAGGCAAAATATTAATTTTTTCAAGAAGGATTGGAAAAGACCTACAAATCTGAACAGCACGTTCCTGCGACTTTGCGCGATCCGATCGCGTTTTTCACTCAGCATCTACTCACCATGATTGCCTTCTTGGACTTCAGGTTGAAGTAATGATTCACAGAAACCAGTATTTCTTTCTGAATCCGTCACGCGCGATCACTAGTAGCGGCTTGCAAATTTACATGGATGGAAATTCAGTATCCGGAAAGAAACAAGCTTGTGAGAACTTTACTTTGTGGACAGTGCACTGACGCTTTTATACTTGCCTACGCTTCGACGCAAATCCAAAAATTCTCAACTATTTAATATTTGTCGAAATCCAGTAGATCAGGAAATAGAATGTAAATGCTCTGTTCGAAAATTCATGACAGCGCTTGAGGTCGAAGTTCTAATGAAACAAGTGCAAATGAACAGAGCCAAAAAATGAACTGCGTCAGCTACCGGACGTAACATATCGCGCTTCATCGACATACGCGGATAGAGATGGTTTTCATTCACGGCTTCTTGAAAGGCAGCCACCGATCAACTTTCTCTGTGTGTTTTGCCGTCCCTCAGCTACATCGGATGCGCGCATTGAAACAGCAATAGAGCTGCATCGCCGGTGACATACTACATCACTGGGTGCCTAAAAAACCCGTCGCGCGGCAAAGGACGGGCCGCAGCGCATACTGTAGCGGTTAGGCGTCAGGTTAACGCCCTTTGCCGCATCTGCGTCTCTTCCTTAGAAGCGCGACGGGCCACTTAAAGGCAAGATTCAAGCTTAACTGATGAGGTAATTCCACTCAAATGTGAAAGTAGGGGTGGGAGGTGGACCGCCAGTGGAGAAAAAAGGAAAAAAATCGTGAAATACACAGGAAATACGAGCCTTTTGCTCTACGCTGCGGAGAAGTTCAAAAGGCCGGCAGGGAGATGAGAGATAATGTGAGCGCGGAGAGCGGTAGAGAAGTCCGAGAAGAGAGAGCATAGCAGATCAACATTGCGACGCAGACAAGATATCGAGCGGTGGGCGGAGCGTGTCGCAACAGGTGGAGCGTGTCAAAGTCCTTGGCCCCTAGCGCCTTAGTGACGCATTTCGATGCGGGAACTTGGCGAGTCGCCTGCAGTTGCGTCCCATGCACTTCTAGCCACTTTAAGGGCTTATTAGGTGGGTCTGAGCCCGAACTTTGCCTTTAAGGGACACTCATACACCACTCGCAGAACACTACTATACATTCACTCATTATCCTCTCCCACACTCTCCCACCCCGATCAAGGAACAATCTTCAAGACCAGTACTGTTTAGGAGCGTGTTCCTGTGCGGAATCAAGTTGTGGTGTGAAATGTGGTATCTGCCCACGAGACAATGCAGCTGATCTCGAAGTATTGATGTCGAAAGAGGATTCTTTTGGTATGTCAACTGAGTTTCACAGCAACGTGAAACCCTATCTATTCTGGTTGTAGGTGCTCTACTACGTGTGATCGATTCACAAAAAGTTCTGGTTGGTAACTCTTTCTATACACATATAAGCACAGAAGTTAGAGAAAAAAGCGGACGAGCAAAAGTGGAGATCTCAGGTACAGTTTTGAATTTACTTCGTTCACTGAAAGTACTCAAAGCATGGGAGGATAAAGCATACTGCGTTAATCATACGTTTTTGGGATGCGCCAATCATCGTACTTCCATTCAGAAACGTAGGAGCGATTTGAATGGGTGGCTTGCGAGGGCCAGCCGATATACAAGTCAGTGTTTTTATCCTCCCAGACAAGTCTGGTACCAATTAACCGACCCCGGGGATGGAAGGCTTGGTTGGCCCGGGCGACTCACGACCCAGGATTTGATCCCCGGACCGGATCGCGTGGTGTGTGCAGCGTGCCATTTGCCGCTACACCACTTTCGCCCTAATTCACTACAATTACAAATTCTCTGTTGAGTCATAAGTAATGGCCGTATTGTCTTAAACCCTTAACGTGATAGTCTTCATTGAGACTGATTTCCTCGTTCAATAAAAGCAACAGCTGCTTACAAGAGCCCTTCATTTGTCCATCCGAGTGACTGAGTCGCTCCCTCATACCTGTACTGCCTCGACAACGGTAATGTTTGGAGATACCCTCCGAGGTGCTAACCATCATCGTGCTTTGTCTTCTCATTCTGAACAAATTAGTGGATCGTTGGAATTTCTTTGGTGCGAGGTAGAATGGAGGTCATGGGTGGGGTGGCTTGACGGAACCGTGTCTTCAAATCACCATCACCTGTCCTCTCGCTGTTCATCTAATAGCTCGAGCGGCTGTCAGTAGCGCTCCCATCATCCCTGTCGTGTGCCATAGCGCTATAGTGGTTCTCGGCGGTCGATCGTATTGGTCTTCATTTGACGTTCCGTGGGATCCAGTCGGTGACCGCTCTAGTCCGGCGGGCATCCCATAGTTGACCCGATCTTCGACTTCGTGGTTGAAACGGTATCATCCCGGATCTTGATTTTTAGCGGAGCTCGAGCACCCTGAACGCATGCTCTTCCTGCGTGCGCGGGGTTCAAGTCTTCGAGGCGTACGTTAAAGGAGGAATTCACGATTAGAATGAAGGTCGAAGAAAGGGAAACTGACCTAGTTGAGGGACCCACGGACCTCCTGAGGGTGCGAACTGACGCGCAATTCGCATGGAAAAATTTGACCTCGGCGACCTATCATGCCTCAAAGCTGGCGGGTCCGGCGATCTCCGCCCACCGATCATCTGATCACTCGTAGTTCAATACGTGGCGAGTGATTAGATAGCTGAGAGAGCGTAGTGTTGAAGAGGGCACAGCGATGAGAGTCGCATCAATGCTCAAATCAACGGGCAAGGAAGGGGTCCCATTTCTCGGGTTCTGGGCCGTTTCTCATGGTTCTTCCTTCTTTCGTGTACCACTCACCATCCCTAGGTTAATTTGAAATGGGTTGCTTTTTCATCGTGAATTCGTCCTTTAAGGCAGAAAGGACAGCAGCGTCAAAGAGTGTTCGCAGAGCCGGATGTCTTTTGTCTTCTCAATACTTCCCCAAATTTATTGTATGCTCTCCATGCCGCTCGCTTCGTCATGCTCAGCTATAGGATAAGGTCCTTCATAACGACGAGTTCCTGGTGCATAGCTGAGCACTCGGAGACGTTCGTTCCGTTGAGTGTGAATGGGGCATTGGAAACCAATCCGCTTCTCGTTAACATCGTCAGCTGCAAACCGTCCTTACCACCGGATACCGGATTATGCGAGGGGTTTTTTTAAACAAAGGCAAGTCAAGGGAAAATTTTGTGCGTAGACTTCCTATTTCACACGCCGAGCCTGGCACACGTTGTAGCAGAGCGGTACAGCCTCAGTTGGAGAAGAATATACAAATGTTTCACTTCTACTCATGATTAGTTATTACGAGTCACATATTTGTAGATAAACTAGATATTTGGCTACGGGATTGCAATCCACGGTGTAAAGCAACCACACCAACAATACAAGATAGATTTTTTATAATTGGAGAAGCAGGCGCAGTTTCACTTGATACCTCAGGAAGGTGTGTTTTTTTTGAATTCTTTGTATCTTTTAAACTCAGTTTCTGAGCTTGCTTTTCTACATGAATTGATTGTTTGCGAATGTCGATATTCTAGGCAACATTATGTCTTGCGGAATACTGATCGGTTCGAAAAAGTTACTTCTGATTGTGGTGTACTAGCCAATGCAATAATTCTTGGCTGATTCGGTTCCTGAAACAAGAACAAGCAGAAGATGTTTATTTCTGTGTAATTTGCAGCATGGCGTAAACTAGGAAGTTAATAAAGTTTATTCATGAGTTTCTACATGAACAAGGCAAGAGATTAGTTCCATTAACCCATTGCGTACCGCGGCGTTTTTTGGCTGGCTGGCGCGTGTGGCCGGCGCCTATTTAGACCCCCGCCGCATGCTGCGCGATCCATATAAAACTTTCATTTATATTATAAACATCTATTATATAAGCACTGCGCATATATCTTACACATTTGCAGTATTTCATGTTTATTTTTGTACAGTGGAATTAGTTATTATTGCATGATGTAGGGAGTAGGGTAACCGAAAATGCGACAGAATTGAAAAAAGAGTTTTGAAGAATATAACAAGTGGAAAAAGAGCTGAAAGTGATTGAAACGTAGTAGCTTTAATTGTTTTATATGCTCGAAGTTGTCGCTTAGCCGTTCCTTCACTTTTACTACAATTTAGCGAAAAAATTGAGAGAGTGCAACTGGAGTTTTTCACAACAAATACCAGTAATTCAGGAATTCCTTCTCATTGCGCAGTCCCACGTCTGTATGTTATTCTCCGGATTCAGTTTATCATTACTATTAGATTAGAGCACGAGAAAATGTCGAAAATACCCTTCAAAAACCCGTGCTGCACCATGTGTTTGGGGGCAAAAAGGGGCCCTACGTGCCACGACGCCAATGGAGTTAAAGGAATCTTGCGCGGAAAAATCATGATTCTATTTCAGCCATAAATCACTGGCTTGAGACTCATTATCCACGATAATAGTGAAAAGAACTGAAGTATTGCTTTCGTTTTGATTAGAAATTCGAAAACTCGAAAAGGCTGCTACGCGTTCGAATTGCCCACGGACGTCTTTCACGAATGCTGGCGACGGGGATGCTCAAACTTGGTTCTTGGAGTGCATTCACTAGAAGCTCTTTCTGGCCTTCTGCTTCGTTGCATTCACATCTTACACTTCTACTCCATCCTATTCCATCGATCGATTTGTCTCCACTCTCCGAAATCGCGCGCTTTAACCCGATTCTCTCATTGCGTCGCCTGGTACGTAGCCGGCCAAACGCCGTCTTCTTTCCATGCCTCGCCTGGCTCTGCCTCCTGGTCCTTCGATGGTCCATAACGTGTAGTTTTTGTACGTTTGTTTCTCTTCAGAAACCGAATCTTCATGCGTGAAACTTTGTGTGCTATTTCCAGTGATCACAACTGACATATTCATGTGTTTCTACAAAAAAAAGCAAGAGAATTAGTTCCATTATTTAAAGTACAAATTGGTTTGGCGTTCAAGCGGAGTTTGCAATAAGAAGACAGCTCATCAGGAATAATGTAGAGGTGATCACTTGTACTGGGATGAAGAAAAAACCATGAGAAACGATTCAGAACCAGAGAAGTGGATCCCTTTCCTTCACGTTGAGTTATGCATTGAAATGACTCTCTTAGCGCTGCTCTCGTCAACGTTAACGCCTTTTCTGGTATATGGCTGGAGACCTGCGGCAAGTGGTTGGCTGGCCGGTGGGCGTGCCTCTCCAAAAGCGGCGCGGGAAGGTACACACCAGATGGCCTGGGCTGCTGCGAATCGCGGATTGGTCCCCACCATTGAGGAGTAACCTCTCTTTCTTCTAGAGAAGTTCCCTTCTTTCGACTTTCGAGCTGTAGTGGAATCCTTCTTGAAGGCTACGCCACATACTCAACTTGTGAATCCTATTTGGATATAGTATAATCGAGCAATCAGCCGGCTATAAAATTGAAGGGCTAGTTTATTTTTCATTGCGATGCTTGGATGAAGCGCTGTTTAGTGGGCAATTCTGCTCGCATGCGGGACGGTAGGACGGTCGGTTGTGGAATTTGGTACGTAAATCAACTGGAGCGCTGTGTAGGATCGAGTAGGTGTGCCGGAAAACTTGCGAGGTGATGTCTTGATACATCATGATCACGAGTTTCAGATCAAACGGTGCCATTCCCAACCATGCAAAAGAGATTTGCAGTGCAATCTACCCGTTTCTAAAAATTCCTTTGATCTGTTAGCCATGAGTCTGGCATAGTATCCACTACGTCACTAGACTACATTAAAGCAACAATCCAGGAACGAATTCGCGGGCAAAAACCACCTATAATGAAGTTGTAGGTGAGAAGTTGGTCAATGGAGAAAGAAAAAGTAAAAAAAACGTCGGGCAGGGGCTTAGACAGGGACTCCCCCTCTGCCGTTAGCAATGGAGGAAGACGCTGTGTTGGACGAGTTGTCCGAACATGCCCGCAGTAAATGCGCCCCAATTGCAATTGCTGGCAATAGCCAGCAATTGCCAGCAATTGCAATTGGGGCGCAATAATGAAATCGTTTTATGTTTTGAAGGTAGAAGGTAGAAGGAAAAAACGTAGAAATCCAGCGTAGTCGGCATCACCACATCGATTGCTTTAAAGGATCGACCTCAAATAGTCCCGGTGGTCCCGAAACGACCGCAAATGTCTGCGCAGCCAATCACGCACTCTTCACGACAGAAGTGGGCGGCCGTACCGAGGCTCGGTGGATCCGCCCACTTCGACGGCGTTAGACCCCTTCCAACGCCTTTCAAAGGTAAGTTTTCAATCAGTGACATTTCCTATGTACTTGACTAGGGCTAGTGCATGTTTCCACCCCTTAGGATCGAATGGTTGAAACCCTGCTTAGACTGCTGCTTTGAAGGCAAGTCTCGGGATAAAATGGATGTGTAAGAGCGTGCAGTAAAAAGCTGCAGATGGGGATGGTCTGGAAAAGAAAAAGAAAGCAAGAGAACCCCCAACGCCCTGAATGAGAACCTGTTTCGGCCGCATTCCACCTTGGGATAGAGATGGGGCGTGGGGCGAGTTTCACGAATGGACCAGAGTCAACCCTGCGTTGCGCAGTTCGCAACGGCACGTTGAGAGATCCTCAACGCACGCTGTATGGGCGGAGACACAGACGGCTCGAGCATGCGAGTGTGAATGTTCGCGCGAGAGAACGTGTCTAATCGGGCGAAACTGCGCAACGTGGCCGTTGAGAACTGCGCAACGCAGGGTTGACTCTGATCTGGGCACAGTTGCTCCATTAACAATGACATTGAACTGCCACCGCGCCGCTGCCGCTTCCCTTCACGCGACAGCCTACAGGCGGGGCTTGCGGACAAGGGTGTGGATTGCGGGTTGGACGAGCTTCTAGTGCCTTTGTCGCGCACTTTCAAGCCGCAAAAGGGGCGCGACATCAACGCTTGTCTGCCTGTCTACTACGATCGGGGATGGAACAGGTGAACGTGCCTAAATCCGGACCGTGCCTTTAAGTAGTGTATGCGTGCAAAGCGTGGGTCTTCTAAGTTCAAAACAATGTGTAAAGAAAAGCGATATGCATCCATCCAAAATACACTTCAACCTACCATCCTTGCTTTGTTGAAGCATAGAGACGTTGACCGTGCCTGCCGCTTTGGAATGGTCCATAAACGGTGCTTGCGTCTTGCTCGTCCCTTTGCCCCATGATGCCGGTCCCAGAGCTATTTCTCCGTAACCTTGTCAAATATTCAGAAGGAATTGTCTTGCTCATAGCTTGTTGTTATTTTCTTTGAAGCTCCTCACGAGGTTGGCAAATAACTTTTATTGGGCTTACGTTTCGGCGAGGATCGCCTTCTTCAGAGCCTGCAACCCTACTGAAGTTCGAGACCAAAACAACTCATCACGCAATCCAAAGGTGGGCCACCTACCGTAATACAGTCCAGTTGTCGAGACCACAAGAACAGCAGTGAGGCGATCGGACTGTTTGTGATTCAAAGTCACAGGTGGAAGGCCAGTTGCTTGCTCATAGCGTTTTCGGCTTTTTTTTTCACATTTATCCCCAGGAAAGTGTTACATAGCATCCACAGCTTATGAACCATCACTCACATCCTACACACGTGGAGTGTGCCTTTGAACGGCATGAAGAAACCCAATGAAAGAGAAGATAAGAGAAGCAAGCTGACCTGATAACAACACGCATCATCATTTTATTCGCTATGAATGCTCAGAAATCGATGTTTCTGCTATGAAATGACATACGCTTTCCAGAACTTTACAAGTTCATGCCTGGTTATGCTTCGAGAAATTATCTCTTAGAGGCAATCAATAGCAAGTTCACTTCGTTTTCTCTAGGCGTAGCTGCGGTGAGTTTTTTGATGTTTTTGTTGAGAAATGCGTTCGAAACCTCTCATGTTCTGTTTCAGTGTATCGAAGCACGTACTCTTTTGAATGTACCTGAAAAACAGTGGAAAGTTTTTTCTGTACTGGTCTATACACATATAGCTGCAGCAGTCTCATTATGTGTAAGTTCTTACTGCATCTCGTATTAGAGCATTCATAGAAGTACCTGAAGGCTCTTTAATGAAGGGTGAGCAGCTCTCTTTCCAGTACTACAATATTCTCAGGCTAGGATATCAGC